GCAATCCCTTCTCCTCCATTCTCCTCTCGGGATCTTGGGCACGCACACAAACAGGCCCGGCGTGAGTTTAAGCCACCAGGTCTGGGACTCAAACCGCAGTCGACTACATGGGAGTCCAGTGACATAGCCATTACGCCAACTGCTGATCCCATATGAACTAGAATTTCTGAGGAGTCACATACTAAAATAACATTTCTATATTTCAGTCATAAATGGAAAACCACTTTAAAATTTATTTTCATATATAAGTAAATATATCAAGTTCTTTATAAAAGAATTAAATATTAAATTACTTTGCTTTAACATAAAGATTTACACATTATTATTTTTCAAAGGTTTGTGATAATATAATACTTACTGTAACTGCAGCATCCATTTATGAAATAGTTTTTCATATTGTTGATTTAGTCGTTTCAGTTCAGTAGAAAAGGAAGGAGAAACCTTGCTCAATAAGTTACGCAAAGTTTGCTTTAAAAAAAAAATGGAGGAGGGAAGAAAATCACTCAAACCACCTAAGTCAAAATTAAAACTGCTTCCATAGAAATTGAATTTATTAGAGACTATGAGTGGAAATACCATTTTAACTTGACAATAACTGTTTCAACTGAAGACACTTATTACTTTAATTAAGATGTAAATATTCATTTTCTTAAAGTTTTTAACATTCTTTTTTGTACAAGTATGTAATAACAGTAAAGAATTGGTGGGTCAGCTGGTGGTATGGTGGTTAAGGTGACTAGATCCTATACATTGACTGCAAGGTTCAAGTCCCAGGCCAGCAACTTGAAAAACATGCCCTGTGAGGGTCAGCAGGTGGCATAGTGGTCAAGGTGCTGGACTCCCATGTGTTCGATTGCAGTTTATGTCTTGGATCTGGCGACTTGAATCTCATGCCAGGTGTGTGTGCATGCATGCCTAAAATTCTCAGAGGAGGATGGAGAAGGGATTGGGGCATTACCATCTCCCTGAGGGGTGATTTCTTGCTTTCTGTCTCTCTGGTGAGCACATGCACCCTATAGTAAATATCTCTCAAACAAACAAACCAAAAAAATAAAAATAAAAATGCTGTGTGCATGTGTGTGTGTGCCTATGGAAAAAAAAATGGAAAAGGGACTGCAGTGTGGCCAACCTGAATGGGGGCTGCATTTTCCATAAACTTCATGAAAGGTCCTCATATAAGGTTTTAATTTTTCTTTCCCCCTCCTTCTCATCTCTTCTCTTCTCTTCTTGAGCACACAGGCACACGCACCAAACATGATTTCCAAGCCACTGGGTCCAGGCCTTGAACCACACAGTTGGCCATGCAGGATCTAGCATCTTAAGCTCCACACCACCCACTGGCCCTAAGGCTTTAACTTTCTAAAAAGACTGCTACTATAAGGAGATGATTAAACCTGCTTCTCAGCTTTAAAAACAAATTCAGATAGACTTTTAAAAACCTAATGCAGAGTATAATAAAATCTCGATAGTTTTTGAGCCAGTTACAATCTCTCTATAACTTAGCTTATCAATACCAGTTTCTTCTTCTTTTTTATACTTTTTTTATTTTTTGAAAGTTTTTACTTATTCATTCATTTATTTTAATTTCATCCAGAGAGAGAGACATGCACACATGCACATGCACACACACACAGAGTGTGAGAGAGAGAGAGAGAGGGAAAGTGAGAAAGCAAGCCACTAGGTCCAGGACTCAAACCGTGGTCAGCCATGTGGGAGTGTCCAGCACGTTAACCACCATGCCACCTGCTGGTTCCCCAATACCAGTTTCTTCTAAGAAATTTTCTCAGAAGGTTTGTCTCTTACAGAAATAAGTGTATTAATTAGAACTCTAACAAGTGTAAAATGTGTGGCATTTTCTGTACATAGTAACCTTGTTATCTTACTGTATTGGGCAGGTTTTCCATATCATCGAGCATTACTATAGGGCACTAGTAATTGCCAGAGACAGAAAGCAAGAAACCACCTCCAAGGGGATAGAGCCAAGCCACAATCCCTTTTGCTCCATTCTCCTCTGAGGATCTCGGGCACACACGCACACGTGCTTGGGGTGAGTTTCAATCTGCCAGGTCCAGGACTCGAACTGTGGTCAACTATGTGGGAGTCCAGCGACGTAACCATTATGACATCTGCTAGTCCCCAAGCAGAGTATCTTATTTTTTTACAAAGTATAACTGAGGGAAAGTCAGGTCTTTGTTTCATGACCAGTGTGGAGGTCAATGAATACATGGGTGAAATGAATAAGAGAGACTAATGTTATGTGAACATTAAGGAACTATGACCCTGGTATCACTATAGATCCTGAAGAGATGAGGGGAGAAAAGCATAATTATAGTATCTTAAACAGAGTTCTAATTCAGTGAATTATTATATTAACCACTTTTTAAAGATGAATATGTAACAGTGATACAATATTGTATTTCACATGATCATGACAATAATTCAACTTGTGTACACTTAAGTCTTTTTTCAAAAAGAATTATTTAAGGGCCTAACAGCTGCCATGCTGGTTAAGGCTGGACTCCCACACGGCTGACCAAGGTTCAAGTCTCAGACCTAATGGCTTGCTTTCTCACTTTCCCTCTCTCCCTATCTGTCTCTCATAAGCATATGTGCCCTATAACAAAATTTTAAAATAATAAAATAAAATAATTTTAAATAAAATAATTATTTAATTTTATTTATTGTTATCATAATTATTTTTAAATTTTCTATAGAGCATGTGCACTCACCAGAGAGAGACAGAGAGAGAAAGTGAGAAACCACGTAATCAGAACCAGGCACCCGGACCATGGTCACCCATGTGGGTGTTCAGTGCCTTAACCACCACGCCACCTGCTGGTCCTAGTACACTTACTCTTTATATTTGTTGTTATATAATAGATCTTTCAGATCACAATAAGACAATTTAGTAGTAACATTCCTTGTAACATACCTGATCCAATTTAGCTCTCTTTAGCTTCTGTAGTGTTCTATCAGAGGTTAAAACTTTTGAACTGCTGTGAGCTTCGAAATATTCTTCTACCAAGTTACTCTAAAAGTGGACAGAATAAAAAGTCAGTTCTTAGTAGTTCCAGATATTTGTCTTATATGAAAAGTAAATATAATATCACTACAAGACATAAGAAATTCTTTATTTGATAGTATTAGGTCACTGGGAAAGTCACAATGTATTTTTCTTTTCTTTTTTTTTTAAGAATTATTTATTTAATTTTATTTGTTCATTCATTTATTTTAATTTGACCAGAGAGAGACACAGAAAGCGAGAGAGAGGGAACGTGAGAAAGCAAGCCACCAGGTCTGGGACTCGAACCTTGGTTGGCCACATGGGAGTGTCCAGCACCTTCATCACGATGCCACCTGCTGGTCCCCACAATGTATTTTTCTATGCAAAAATGAGTCATGACCCAATATCTTCTTTTTCTAAAAATTTATTATTTAATATATTATTATTATTATTTTATTTGTTATAGGGCACCTGCACTCATCAGAGAGAGAGAGAGGGAAAACGAGAGAGAGAGAGAATGAGAAAGCAAACTGTCAGGTCTAGTACTCAAACCATGGCCAGCCACAGGGGAGTCCAGAGCCCCAACCACAATGTCACTTGCTGTCCCCAGTATTTTCTTTTTAAAACAACAATATAGGATAAGACCCAAGCATATATATTTTTCTTTTTTTTAAAAGACACAGAGAGAAAGAGAGGGAAAGTGAGAAAGCAAGTCACCAGGTCTGGTATTCAAACCATGGTCAGCCATTTGAGAGTGTCCACTGCCTTAACCACCATGCCACCTGCTGGTCTCAGGATCAAGCATATGTAATACCAGTAATAAAACTGAGTAACTTTTTTAGGGCCATAAAAGTTTAAAAACAACTAACTAAAGTAATCTGTTTACAAAAAAGTCTTTTTTTTTTTTTTTTAATCTTTTTTTCTTTGGAGAGTTTTTCGCTATAGGGCATGTGCGC